GAGCACATGCATCTAATTAATGTAATGCATGAGAAACAAAGAAAATAAAAGCCCTAATAACAGTCATTGTTGTTGTTGCAATCATCTTGTTGCTCAATATCAGAAGCAGCTTCATAATAGTCCTCATGATCTCCTCCAAAGCTATCAATTCCACAAGGAACATGACCATTTCCAAAAGCCTTGACGTGGTCTTTAAGCGACCTCTTGTGCTTAAAATCCGAGCCACAAGAGCAATACCAAAGCTTACCACAATTCTTCTCATGTGTTCTCCAATCTCCTTTCACTGCAAAGGCCTTGCCACACCTGCGACAAGCAAAAGGTCTAGACCCGTGTTTACGTTTGTAATGCGTTTGGAGGGTTCGAAAGTCCTTGAGAGGCTTGGCTCGAGGATGGTCGATGTTGTTCTTGCAGCCTGGTGCACAACAGAAACATGGAAGTCTTAGCATTCCTGTTGGTTGGGTTCCTCTAAGTGACTCTGGTCCCTTTCTGTATTGTGAGCCATGTCCCCACATGTGCATCTATAATAAAACGTTTTGAGGTCATTTATCATAAAAGGATTCATCAAACTCATCAAGTATTAATTGGTTTAAGTCTAGGATACATGCTATTGTGGTGGGGTATGTATAAACTGAATTGTTTCAAATGAAAATATTTGTATGTGTTTGCGTCTACTGGTTAAAATGCTTTGCTTATATTTGAAAAATATATTTGATTATCTTCATTTGGAAATTGTAAACGCAAACACGAAAGTCAAAAGGAATTTTTTTCCCGGATTGAGTTTGTGTTTTGCATTTAGTTTTCAAAGAACGTTTGATGATTACATTACCATGTTATGTCTTTTTTTTTTAAGATGAACAAAATAATTTATTATATAAACATTAACGTAAGAAAAAATAAAACCTTACATAAAATATTTTGTGAAATATTACTCTATGTAAAGTTCGAGATGTAGATCTTAGACTACTACTATTCCATGTAAAAGTTTACTTTTTGGCTTGTAATAATTAGTAGTTGTATGCCTATCTTTGGGGAAAATTACATAAACAAACCAAAGCATATATTCAACAAATAATCTGCTAAACATTTCTCTTCCTTAGCTCATTAAGAAAATAAAAAAATGGGTTTCATGATTTATGAGCACAAAAATCAAGAGAGACAATAAAGATGGAGGTGGACTAAGCATGTTTCAGGGTTATAAAGAGTCAGTCTGACAATAAAACTGTTGGTTAAAGAAGATCTTCTGAAGCTGATAAGTTTGATTTTACATAGCCATCATCATTCAACACCCTGAAGCTGATTTGATGTGTACCATCAAATTTTTAAAAGTTAATTATTCTCGAGTTACTAAACAACAAGGCATAGTAGTAATTACCAAAAGTAGTTGTTAATAACCACTATTACAGATACCCTAAAGATCCATGAATCAATTAACGAGTTTGTTTACGTTTCTTTAGACCTCCAACTAAAAATAAATAAAAAACCATGGACTAATAAAATCTTTGAATATGAAAAATTAAATCTTGAAATGTGTAAGAGATGATTCTTGGATCAGTAGTATAGTACCTGCATGTTGTTGTATCTGTTGAAAGTCTTGAAGCAAAGAGGACAAGAGAACTGTGTAGGGCCAATCAAAATCTGAGAAGGAGTAGGGATCCAATAATGATGACCTCTGTATAGATCTCCATGATCATCATCATCATGAAGGTGGGATTCAACAGTTACCTCTACTCCTTGATCATGATCTTGATCTTGCTCCTCGGTGGTTGCATCGGGAGCGATGTAGCTCCCACCAAGACCGTAGCTTGGTAACCCTAGATGAAGATCCACAGTTACATGATGAGAACCATCAAGAAACATGGAAGAGTTTTGATCTGTGTCCATGAAATAGTTTTGGTCTTGTTGTTCTTGGTGTCGTATGGGACTTAAGCTGAGGAGAGGAAGAGCTTCTTTGAGGGGAGGTGAGCTAGGGAA